CAGCCTCTGCATCCCCGGCGCATCCCCACGGGCATCCCCGGGGGCTCCCCGGGCACACCGCCCCCCAAGTACCCATCTCACCGGGGTGACGGCCGCGCTGAAGCCGATCTCGCAGTAGCGCTTGTCATGGACTGCGGGCACAGGGCAGGGTCAGACCCACCAGGCGTGGGGGGCACCCACCGCCCCCACCCATCCACCAGCCCTCACCGTAGTAGCGCTCGCGGTAGGCGCTGGCCATGAGCTGGTCGCGGCAGGGCGAGTACCAGGCGATGCGCCGCAGCCCAGGGGCACCCACGAAGCAGGTGCCCGTCGGGGTGCGGAAAGCCTCATGCGGCCAGTCCATCACGTTCCAGTGCTGCAGTGGGGCGCAGGCCTGGGGACGGGGATGGGGTGGGTCCCCACCCCACCCCATCGCCACCCAAGGGTGCCCGCCCACCCGCCAGATGCACCCACCACCAGTTTGCCATCCCAGCTGGTGACGGACGCCCCCAGCCACTGGTGCGACTTGTAGGTGTGGAGCTTCAAGGTGTTTTGGGTCTCGGTCTCGTCCCCTGGGGGAGCAGGAGAGGGGGAGAGTGCCGGGCCGGCAGCACCCCCAGGCCCACCCATCACCCCATGGCACCCACGCACCCTCAGTGTCGATGGGGAGGGGGTGGCAGGGAGTCTCGCCGGGGGGCCAGGAGCAGAGGAAGACGGCGCCGGGCTGAGCCACACCGGGCTGGGAGGTGTTGGCGCGAGGTGCCCCCACCACCACGCTGGGCCTGGGGTGGGCAGAGCGGGTGTCAGGGTGGGGGGAACAGGTGCCGTGCCCGGCCCCGGCACCCCGGTTGTCTCCCTACCTGCCCTCGGTCGTGTGGAAATCCAGGGCGAAGCCGAAATAGCTGCCGGGGGGTCCCTCGTACACGGCGGGAGGGTCCCAGAGGAGCCCCAGGGCGGGGGCCGAGCACGGCCCCCCAAGGAGCAGCAGGGCCCGGAGCAGGGCAGCAGCGCCGGCGGCAGCCCACATCACCTCCCTGAAATGCGGCCGGCAGCCCCGGCACAACCCGTCCCTGCGTGTCCCCTGCTTATCTCAGGGGACGCAGCTGGGGACGGGGAACACAGGAAGGGCCCCCCCCGCCCACACAACC